AAAAAAAGAAAGAAAGGAAAGTGCCCCATTGGTTATTCCAGCCAATAAACGCCACGGCAAAGCACCCGCTTTTCAAAGATTTTTTTTTTCTTTCTTTTCCTTTTTTTGCTCCTAGCCTCCTCCAGACCTCCTACCCTCCTAAAAAAAAAAAAGTGAAGATCGAGAAAACTATCCACAGCCAAACAGCGATTCCTTCAAAGCTGTGGAATCTAATTCTCATTACTATTACTATTATTTTTTGATCATTTTTCTGGGTCTGCGCATGTCTCTTGCTCCATCAGGTCCCTAACTCTGGCCAACGAACTGCGCTGTGATTATCCTATTCTTCCCGTACACCCGGTCGGGAGGTATTATTCTCACAGCATCATTATCACCGCCATCCATCATCTCCCTTTCCACTTCCTCTTCGCCCCCCCCATCGCCATACTTCCCTGTACTTCTCCTTCTCATCTCACACTCACATTTCCACACTCTCTTCCTTCCCCCTCATCCCCCCCTTTGTGTTACTATCTATTCTTATTCTTATTTTACTACTATTATTATTAGTATCCTAGTTGTGTTATCATTATATTTCTTTGTCGTTTTGTGTGCTTAGTTGGGTTGTACTTCTCTGCTATTATTATTATTATTGTTTGTCTTATCTAGAACTCCAATCGTCCCGAGTGTATCCTACAATTTCCTACCAAAAGTTCACTCCTTCACAAACCATGCCTTATAATACACGTCGAAAGTCACTGTCGCTTCCGTCGCTAGGGATTCATCTCCCGAGTGCCTCCCGCCGATCCCCGTCGGCCTCGAAATCGCCACACGCGACCGACGAGCAACTGCCTCCCTCCAAGAAAGTAAAGAGGTCGCACGACTCGTCTTCGCTATCTCCAGAGCCAACCTCGGTGTCGATATCGACCGCGAAGGAACAGTTGCCTGTACGTTCGACTGGTCGGCGCGGGGCGTTTGAACAAACGCCACCCCCATCGCCTATTGATGGAAGTGTCGCGCCCAAGATCGACACGGAGGGTATCAACGATGATATCGTGGTCGGCGTGATCGAGCAATTGGAGAAGACAGGCAATCGTCCGCATCTGGTCAAAGAGCTCGCAGCCGTCCTCGTTGCGCTCAATGAGAATGTCGCAAAGTACGTTTCGAGTGACTCCCTCCCCTATAGTGCTCTCTGATGTGCATACTAATCGTTCAATGTGCTACAGTTCCGCAAACCCCGCCGCACTCCTTTCTTCCCGGTTGAGTACATATATGAAGCGCCCGTGGACGGCGCTCGCACCGTGTCCTCTGGCGAAGGAGCTCATTCCAGTCCACCCTCGCAAAGTGTACTATTACTTGACGACGCAACCTCGTCAACCTCTTCCTGAGAACTCAGATGATATCATCATCCCGGGTGTGATGGGGAAGAACATCACTCCTAGCGTGTCTAGCGCTGACCTGGACGAGGAAGACGCGTTGGCACGGGAACGATCGCGCCTCAGCCCAAGCCCCGAGGTGGATCTGTCCCCCCCGGACTTCGAGGAAGAGAATATTGATCTGGACACTCGTGATGATAGCGTGGCGAGACAATGTGCGACTGATTTTGACCATCAGCATGCGCGCCTCATGCACTCGAACCGGGCCGCTTCTCCTCCGCTGGAGGGTGACGAGAAGGAATTCACTCAAACTGCCAGTGCCGTTCGCGAGCGGGCCTCGGAGCAAAAAGCAAGCCAGCTCGAAAAGGCCAAAGGTCCCTTCTCGGCCCTTTCGGAGGGGCTTAGCGAACTGGATGATGGGGCCATGAGCATCGCTGGAACTCCTGTTGAAGATAGTCCTCTATCGTCAATTCATGGGGACCGCATGTCCGATAGCCCGGATGGTGACTACTTCTCCCATGGAGGCTTGATGGAACAGCCTTCCCTCCAGGAGCAATTGCAACAACAGCAAGACCTCGATGAGGCAGCCGCGGTTGCTCTGTTTGGCACTTCCCCCTCCCCATCCCTCACTTCCGTGGCCTCGTCACTCTCGTCTGGTACGAGTGTGGCTTCGGACGACGGTCTGGATGTCGAGGCGAACCCCGATAGTGTGGCAAGCGCACCGCAGATCAGTCTCCCCGAAGACCTCATCATCGAACCTGTCTCGGCAATGAAGCGGTCCATTGACATGCTCAACAGCGGGGTTCCGGATCTCGATATGAAGATGTCGGATCTGGTTGAACAGGACAGTAAGATGTCTCTGGTCCCTAGGACCCTGGTAGACACAGATGTGGAGATGGTCTTCGATTCCTGGAGAGAGCTGCAAAATCCCGAGAGTGTCGATGTCCACGAGCTCGATGAGATGTTCGGAGAGATCTGAGCAGAGGATGCGATGTAATTTACGCGCATACCGCAATCGATAGACCTGGATTTGTTTTTTTCTCTAGACTTTCACGCCTGGTTCAGGATTTCTTTCATCTCCACTCTCGCCTCGCTGCTATTACGCCTTGGCTCTACCACCTATCGCTCCGCCTTACCTGACTTCCTCTTACCCTAATCTTGTACAGTTTCCTCCGATAATACTTGTCCTGGATTTCGCTTCACCTCTCTTGGCTCGAGTGCCCCTTTTTAACCTGTATATATATATATTGTTGCTGTGTTTTGCTTTCTCTTTTCTCGCTTGCATGTCTCTTTGTCTCTTGTTACTTTAATATCCCCTGACTGGTTTGGGTGTACGTGTTTCGTCGTTCTATTGCGGGGGTTGATTGCCATTATTACTAGTTGGCGCGATGGGAAACAAAAGAAGAGGCCGATGATGCTGTCAACGGCCGGGGAAATGTCTTAAGGGTCACAAAAAAAAGGAAAAAGAAAAGGAAGGGAAGCCGGAAGTTTTATGCCTGATGCCTTGATGTACATTTAGCGCTTGTGGCTCACCATTATACTTTATTTGACGATAGTATTCTTTCCACCTTGCGATCCGGACAGTACGACTCGTAGTATCTAGAGTAAGTTACCTAGTCGTATCCATATATGACTGAGGATAGGGCTTGCGCAAAGGAAATCTATGGAAGAGCCACCTACGTGGTGAATGTCGTCATCGATGGGGCTGGAGCTCATCGTATGGATAAACTGCCGGGTGATTGGAAGATACCCCTTGGGCCCAGTATTTCCTCCGCCCCGCCGCTCGCATCGATCAATTCCTCCATCTTCCATCCTTGTCCCGTTCCTTGAGAGTCCCCGTCACCATGATATTTCCTTTCTCTAGTACCTGGTAAAGCTGGTGGAAGTGCCGAGTAGTGCGGACAGAGAACATCGGCTCCTACTCGACAATCATCCTCGATCTCCCAATCGTCTTTTAAGTTTTATGCGCCATGGTCATCTACTGGTCCGAACGCTCGTCGTATGGTCGATTTAAGCATTGAATTCGAAACCATTGTCCGGCAAACCGAAAGCACGAGAAGACCTTACCGGTCGCGCGAACCATAATAGTGTTATCCAGGCACATTGGATCGCTATCTGTCCTGGTGGCCTTAATCCATCGATCCCGGCCGCTTTGTGGCGACATCCTCTACCAAATCTCAAAACTACCAACATGGACGCGCCTTCTATTCACCCCCAATCAGGTGACGGCAACTCGCGGGCTGCAATGGTTCCCCTGGACTCTTCCGGTACTCAAAATACAGTTATGATCGCCTCGAAGCCTCCAGCCTCGCGTACCTCACAACTGTCAAATATACCTCCCCGAAGCAGCTTGTCCGGCAAGAAGCAAACTGCCAATGCGAAAGTGGCCATACCGCGGCAGAGAACGGGTGTCGTTTCCGCTTACAGTCGACGTGTGCCTCTTGCCTGCGAATCCTGCCGGGGGCGGAAAACTAAGTGCAGCGGCGACACGCCAGTTTGCAGACAGTGCAAAGAATTGAGGGTGACTTGTAAGTACCCAGCATCATGGAGGGAGCGAACCAAAGGGTATGTTGACTACCAATGTTTTCTTGTCCTTGGTCATTGACGGCTGACTTCGATATTAGGCAATTGGACAGTCTCTCGACAAAGGCCGAAGCGTATGAGAAGCTATTGAGAGACATTGGAAACATTGTCGATGGTAGGACTGCAGAACAAATTCGAATCACTCTGGATAAGGTCGGTACGCTTTCCCATGTTTTATGTCGTTGTCCTTCTGCATCCGACCTTAACACTCGCATAGTATTCTGGCTCGGGTGGCGAGCGGGCTTCTACCGGCTCGCAGTCTAGTTCAGCCACGCCGCAGGATAAAGACAACTACCTTGAAGAAATGAGCTCCTCGTCGTCTATTGGATCCCTAGATGCCATCGACCGCGTGGATGAGGATGTAAATCGAACCCCGAATTCTCGAGCTACTGGTTACATGGGGAAAAACTCGGAGGTTACCTGGATGCAGAGATTACGGATGGAGACAGAACAGCGCGTCCGGAAGGAACCAGGGCGCTACGAAGCTGAGCCGAAAGGGGAATTTGCCCTCCATTCGATGAATTATCATTTGGACGATCTAGATGTCTCGGTTCCCGGCCCTGTGCAAGTGTATTGGATTCCTCCTCGTCCTTTGGCGGACAAGTTATTTGAAGACTACTTGGAAACGGTGCACCCGTTTTATCCTATCATCAGCCGTACACTATTTCGTGCCCAATACAGAACCTTTTTTGACAGTGCTGCTCGGCCTGGCGATAAATGGCTGGCCATCCTTAACTTGATATTCGCCATCTCCGCCAAACATGCTCATCTAACGCAGGCACCGTGGCGTGGCGATGACAATGATCATTTAGTCTATTTAACTCGGGCCCGGATCCTTAGCATGAATGGTGATGCTCTGTTTAGCCATCCCGACCTGCAGCAAGTACAGGTCGAGGCCTTGGTTGCTTTCTATCTTATGGCATCAAACCAAATTAACCGGTAGGCTTCTTTTCTTATTTTTTTTTTTTTTTTTTTTTTTTTTTTTTTTTTTTTTTTTTTTTTTTTTTTTTTTTTTTTTTTTTTTTTTTTTTTTTTTTTTTTTTTTTTGCCCCTTTTGCCGTGCGGTTGGTGTGGGGCTTGACTTGAACGTTCTTCTGATGGTTTGATTAGAGCTTGGAAGATCACCGCGTTGGTTGTTCGTTCCGCAATCTCACTCGGGTTGAATATGAAGAACACTAGCGAAAGCACGCCTGGAATCTCAAAGGAGGCGCGATATAGGGTCTGGTGGTGTGCCTATACTTTTGAACATATGCTCGGGATCATGACGGGCAGAGTTTCTTGCATTACAGATGGGATATGTACGACGCCTTTGCCTCTACCGTTCGAGGAAGACCAGCTTCAAGAGCCAGCTGCAGCTAAGCTTCTCAACGACCAAGACCTTCGCCAGGAGCTGGTAGAATCGGCTTTGGCAAGTACCCTTGTTCGCCACATGCCCTCAAATCCCCCGGGAGGTAAGGAGACTCGACATACAGACAAATTGCGTGACGCTTCCTGGCTGAAGAGCCAGCCCATCAGTAAAACACTTATATTCCTTTATTATGTGGACCTGGCAGTTGTCGCTCAGGAAATCGTTAACCGAGTGTATTCGCTGGACTGTGCCGTAGTACCCTGGAGGCACATTGAGAACCGCATTGGGGAGCTTCGATCCCGAATTGACATATGGTACGCCAACCTTCCGGAGGCATTGGACTTCACCCGGCGAGATGACCAAGGTGTGGATATGCTTCGTGGAAAGCTTTTCTTGGCGTTTCACTACTACAGTGCTCGAATCACCTTGGGACGTCCGTGCCTGTGTCGCCGCGATGCTCGGCATACTAGCCCTCAGCAGAAACCCTCTTTCAGCCATGATATGGCAGAGATAACTCTAGATTCTGCACGGCAGATGCTGGACTTGATTCCAGACGAACCTAATGCTGTCCAACTCTACCATGTTTGCCCTTGGTGGTGCGTTCTGCACTATCTTATGCAGACGGCTACAGTTCTCCTGCTCGAGTTGTCATTTGGTTGCATTCATATGCCAGCTGAAGAGCGAGGTATCTTTGAAGCGTCAAAAAAGGCCATACGCTGGCTCTTTGCCATGTCCGAATGTGGCCTCCCGGCACGGCGTGCATGGGAGCTGTGTGACAGTAACCTTCGACGAATCGCCATCGGCATGGATTATGACTTGAGTGATCTGCCAGTCTTAAATTATGACCCAACCTCGCACGTACATATGGCCCCGAATGCTGGTGGCAGTGCAGGTATGGATGTACCTGTCAGCCAGACAGCGCCGCTTATACCTGTTTTCTACGATACAGTCGGCGGCCCAAATCAACAGCCGGCTCAGACTCAGTACCATTATGACCAGAGCCAGCAAGCGTACTCTGGAGTCCCAGCGATTGATCCGGCCTCGTTAACCCTTGCACTTTCTGCCCCCGGAACCGATGCCTTCTTCCCTTATGACCCCATCAGTGGGGAGTTTATTCGCTCCTTCTTCCCCATTCCCAATGAGGAAGAGTCATGGGAGCAAAACTAAGATGTTTGCAGAATCCTTCAATTCTCTGTACAAAATAATTTTTGCCACTACCACTACTACTACCTCCGTTGTTTAGGGCTTGCTTACCTGTGTTTTATATGTTGTTCTTCTTTCACAAAGTTCTTGATAAATGTTTTATATCAATTTGTTTCAGTGCGGTCTTTTGGCACGGGCTGGGGTTTCACGGCATGTCATCAGTGTGCAAGGAGTTATCGTAAGGGAGACCGGGAGTTTGTCATACGGAGCTTCGAATAGATGATGGGTGGCTGGCTCGTGATATTATGTTGTTTATTTGGATTTTCTCGGGAACGTTTACGTCTAACGAAGTTCGAAATCAAATTCTCATTTCAAGACGAATTACTTTCGTTAAAGAGTCAAACTTCATATAAAACACAAGCATCTTAACTCTGTGCTATGTACTATTATTAAACCTGGTATCTAACATCTCTATCATACACACAAGACAGTACTAAGAATTTCCAAAATAGTTAGAGCAATAAGTATAATACATGTATGCAAGGAAGTCTATCGAAACACCATATCACGCTAAATATGAGCGCTCTCTTGTTGCGCTGTGGTATCTTCACGCCCCAGTCGCTGTTTTTTTCATTCTTTTCAACTCTTTACGTCTTCTGTATACGAAGCCTCCGACCTCGCGGTTCCTATCCGCTCGCCGAAGACCGAGAGCCTCGAATCTCTTCATGCAGAACTCGAGGACAGGTCGGGCGGGGTTATGCTGAGGATGGGTAGTTCTGGGATATGCATCTGCTTGAGGAGGTGGAGGTGATTCGTCGGGAACGGTGTGCGAGTGTTCAGCTTCGAATTCGTTGTACTCTTTCACTGCGGCTCGGGCGATAATGCGGACGGTGGATATGTTGGGCACGACCAGTTTCGTCTGGAGCTGTTTGAAGTATGCCTCGTCGAAGTGAGGGTTACCCTTTTTCATGTCCCGTTCGGTGTTCAGGTAGAGACGGGGGATGCCGCCTTTATGGAGACGGCGGACGAATGGGGACTGCACGTCGACGCACCAGGTGTCCCAGAGTCGTTTGCCGGCGGTGCTGCCTTGGGCGTCGACTACGGCGGAGAGGATGGGGTGGAAGGCTGTTGAGGGTATGTGGGGGGTTGAGCTTCGGGCGAGCTTTTGGGAGCGGAGATTGGAGGCGGCGGCGACGTCGTGAAGGGCGCCAGGGATAGAAAGGAAGAGGCGTTGCAGGCCGTGGAGGGAGCGCTCCTGGAAGTTGTCTCGTGGGTGTAGTTCGTTGAAATCACCGTTGAGAATTCGCAGCAGGATGCTCTTTGCTTGTGCTAGGCTCTGGATATTGTCTTCCGCTTTTGTCGTGTCGATTTCTGTGGTGACGGCATGGTCTAATCTGATGATTTCGGCGGCCAATGCGGTTACATTGCTGTGGCCCCAGGATTTCAGGCGGTAGTCGCGGAGATATTCTAGCATCACAGGTACCAGGTCCCATTGGCACATTGCGATTCGGTAGTTCAACAGGGCTCGTAGGGTATTCGCCGAGAGGGGCTGTGAAAGAGACTGGACAACTGAATCGCAGAGCGTGCTATTCTTGGTAGCGGCAGCGTAACGAATAATTGATGGTGTCAAAGCTTGGTTCCCGTATGCGCTATGAGGAATCGGGGGCCCGTCAATGTCGTTCGAGAAGAGTAACCAGTCGCCGAATGTGAATGCTCGAGACACAGTCACCAGGTCCAGAAGTTCGGCCAGCGTAATAGGTGAAATTTGTGGCATTGACGACTCAAATGGCTTCAAAGAGGCCAGATTGGCAGTATCGAAAGTCGAAAGGTGCTCGTCATCGGACGGGTCCGCGCGTGAGGAGAAGAATTCGCCTATTCGTTGCATCTTGCTTTTGTCAACTGCGGTCTGCAACCAAGCAAATGAATCCATAGCATCTCCACACAGGCGTCGCCGGGAGTGGAATCGGATGTCGTGTTCGACGATTTTAGCTAAGGCTGTCGTCTCATCATATATCTGGGACGGCTCAAGTTGCTCCAAGTCCTCCTCATCAGGCAAGTATAGGTCATTGGAGTCCCAGGGCGGAACAATATGAGGAATGGCTCTGAGGAGCTCGTCGAATGCTTGGGGATCTGCCTCAGGATCGACGCATCTTGATTCAAGAACACGAAGAATGAACCAGTTAGATCCCTTAGTCGTAGCTAAAGGGGTATCATCGGTCGCCCTCGGGGCTATTGCGAACTTGAGCGATGAGATATGACGCAGAAGCGCAGCCGACGATATACCCCGGAAGCCAAGTCCTCGATAGCCCCAGTTTGGAAGATTATCCAGTAAGGAAAAGGCCACCTCAAGACTGATGGTTCGTGCCCCGAGTCCATTGAAGGGGGAGGGGCTACTGCGCTTTCGAAGAAGCGAAGGACTGTCGACTTGGGCCGGGTGGCGCCAGGATACTTCTGAGTCAACCTTGGTGTTCCATACCGACTCTGGATGTTGAAGTAGGGGTCTCCAGCTTTGGAATTTCCAAGCCAGATCCCCTTTCCGTGTCTTCATCTTATCAATGAGCCATATACCCTCTGTGATATGTCCGTGTTCCACACAGCACCAGAGAATCAACTCTATCCAAATCTCAGGCCCAAGCTCTCGAATGCCCATTTTGAAGGGAAGGAAAGGTGAGTCTTCGCCCGCAGCAGCTGCCTTGGCCGCCACTTCTGCTTCGTGTACAAGCCAGGCTGCATCTGACAGAACGTTCATGATATGTGTTGAGAGTAGATGCATCGTGGGCGGTCGAAAGGCGACCTGATGGCTATCTGGAGGGACATATTTATATACCCTATCAGATACTGCACCGGAGTGGTGCAGACGCGCAAGTATCCGAAACACATAAGACATCGCTATCTTCGACTCATTTGGCGAGGCATCAGCAGCATCAAGCACAATTGAACCCAAGCTCTGCCATACTTGTGCCATGAACCGTCGGGAATGTTCGTCCGCAAATGCTCTCTCAGTTAACGTCTCTAGGCTTGTCAACTCTGAAACCTGTGTTGTTGGATCTGGCATGAGCCGCGGAGCCGAGTCTATCTGATGGGTCAATTGATCAAGTGATACACTGGACTTGTAACCCCAGCTGTTATTGGACAGGTGCTTAAGAGAGGGGGAGACATCATTCAGTACATCTGCGGCGTCGAGCAACTGATTCAGTAATGCATAAACAGCGGGCCAGTTGTTCAACCGGTACCCCAGATGAGCTAAAAGATCTAGATCCCCATACTCTCTTGCATTGTACAATAGCTCACGCAAGTCGATTGCCCGGCTGATGGACGCTGAGGTCGTTACCGATGCAGCGTTCGGTTCGAGAGAGCTACTGCCACTTCCGGTATCTCCTAGCAGGTATTGTTCCAGCAATAAAGCCCACGCTTCCGGGTTTTTCTGCGACTCGCGTACTGGGAGTTCATTTTTCCATTGAAGTCGATCATGCAATAATTGACGGTTGATAGAAGGGCTGGAGCCCACGGAGAACTGGCGACCCCATTGCCGCCCTCCCGGGGAAGGTCTCCAACTTGGGAGCCCTTTACGCTGGGAGTAGCTAAGCAGGCGATACGGAGAGACTGATGCAGTATGGAGCAAGCGAGACCTGCAGTCCAGACACAGCAGACGAGCTGGACACAGGGACCTTTTCATGACACGACGGAGGATCTATCGGACAAGACCTGCGGGCGGAGGGAATCCAAATTTCGATGTGACCGGCGGACGGACGTTCTGTAGCGCATGTCTAGCCATTCAACTGATACCGCATCGCCCTGAGAAATGATCTGAAAGCGAACGAATACCGCCGAATAATCCCAATTGTTATGGTAGGCTGTCCGGAACGATCGTTTTCACCTTGGCGAGGATTTGTTGAATCTCGATCGCAGAAAAAGCTTCCCCGATAGCGCTGACTCAGCACCATCCAGCCAATCAGCGCAGGGATGTTTACTAGTTTACTGCTATCACATGTCTAGCTCTGCGACATTTGGCTGTATTGTCGTCGTATTGAACTTTACCAATATTACATCCTACTATTTGTATAGTATATAAAGATCTACGTTACTCAGATGGCGCCATAAGTGAGAGGAACATTGTCTCCAAGATAAGCCGATATGGCATTGAGTTGCTATCAAACATGGTGACACTGTCACACCCGAACGAATGACTGATCCAGCAATCTATCCATCCATCGACCAACCAAGCTCACTCTCCCAGGAATGATCCAAACTTTACGGGACCGTCTAGACGAAGATTGGACGGACCTGACGGGCGTGTCTGCGCTGGAAAGCAAAGACCGGAGAGCTAGAAGGAGGTGGAACTCCGCTCGAAGAAGGAGTTGGCCACGAACCCGTAGGTCGAACGCCGGTGGGACGCGGAACTCCGCTGGGCCAGGGAGTAGGAGTGACCGAAGGAGTGCTGGAAGGCGTTCCGGAAGGCGTACCAGAGGGCTAGAACGGTTGTTTAGCTGGAGTTTCGCAACCTGACGGTATGGCTACTCACCAAAGGAAAAGGAAGGATAGTAACATGGGGAAGGTCTGCCTGAGCAAGAGCCGGGGAAAAGAAAAGAGCAGCAGCTCCCAAGAGAGTGAAGGCCTTCATGATAGTATGGAGTTTAGTATGTAAAGGAGTGGTATAGTATTTATTGGTAGGATCAATGAATGGAATGAAAGTGTACAATATGGAAAATCCGTGCACAGCACTGGTCGAGAAAAGAAAGAATGTTTGAGAAGGAACGGCCATCAAGTTGCGATCTATGAGCTTATATATCTATAGAAGGGCCAAGAACCACTTTTCTCTTACGACCAGGATGGACCTGATCAACAGGACCATACTCTCGTTTTGGATTACGGCTGCGAAGGGTCCATATTGTATTAGGGCTCGGTGGATTCGAGAGCAGACCCTTCAAGGCCCCGACCAACTCGGCAAGACCGAGAGATCCTAGACTAAGGGGACGTGGAACAGCTTACTGTTGGCCTATCCAGACGCCGAAGCATAAGACACGGGAGAGACGTTGCGCTAGCTCCAGGGTACTGCCGTGCGGATGGCATACGATCCGAGCGCATCTCTCTGGCGCCTCTCGAAGCAACCATTCTAAGTGGAGGGAAATAAAGCCCTGTAATGTGCATCGGAGGGTCCAATCGCTTCGCGAAGGTGACGCTAAGACAGTATGACATTAAGGAATGTACAGCCGATTGAAGATCATCAGTTCCCTTGACATAATTTCATCCATCAATGGGATCATGCTGCCAGAGGGTCGGCTGGCGGTGGGCGGGTGGGAACAAGGACTCGTAATGTCGCCAGAGAATGATGAACTGAGTGACTCCCTTGCAGTAGCTTAGGCAATGGAAATTATCACTGTCCTCGTGTTTTGTTGCACACCTCCTGCCGATCAATTACCGTGTGGTGGAGGGAAGAGACGTTGATTTGGAGTGCGGAGTGGGTTCATGTTGCGTCGGCTGAAACGAACCAAGACGAGCTCACGCCGACGATCACTCAACCCTATCATCGGTACTCCAATCATAAGTTATAACGACCATCGGTACCACAGTGCTCACTTGGCGCACCGGATCAATGTCGCAAGTTGAGCAGGATTGACGAGCCGGCGGTTGAATTCCCGAATGAAGGTCGAGATCGAGTCATGTCTTTCTTTAGGCAAAATCTGAGCCTGAAACTAGGGATCTTCGGCAGGATCGAGACTGCTCGAATCATCAACATGGCACAAGGTGGATGGTCATTGATAGATACAGTGTCGCTCAAATGCTCGAGTTAAGTAAAGATATGGAATATACTGAGTGTGCACATTGGTAACTTATATACATTGCACTCTAAATCGTGACAGTATGAACATGGACAACAACCAAAAAGAAAAGGTATCAATTAACATCACAACCCACACATCCCAAGCCTCATAAGGAAACGAATCAAGAAGAAATAAAATAAAGTAACAAAAAGTAACAGATGATCAAAACACCACACACCCAAACTGCCAGTAGCGCCACATCAAGGATGACTACCAATATCATGCATACCCAAAAGTTTATACTCCGCCGACTAAAGGTGACGAATGTCGCTGCGTTGTACTAACTCAGTATAAAAGCCGGTCGCGCGCTGTATCCCAAGCGATGGGAAGAAAAAAAAAATAGTCAAAACTTCAGCGATCATTGTCACTTCTGGCACGGAGAGTCTTGTTCGAATCGATTTCACAACTCTTCCTCCGGAGGAATATTATCCGCCGGGACCATGTCGCCTCCAAGTTCCTGCTCGACTTCATCAACGACGAAGCCTTCGTAGTCTTCAAGGCCCTTTTGAACATGGACTTTGAATCGAATCACGTCATTCAACATGCTTTCCACGTTGGTGTGGAGTTCCTCCCGTAGCGCATTCGCCCGGAGCGTCAGTTGCTCGTACTCAATATTCGTGTTCATTTCACGTTGCTCCATAAGTTGAACGCTCTCACTCATAGTAGCCCGCATCTTGGCTAGCTCTTTCTCCATCTTTTCGATTTGGGCATCGGAGGCAAGCTTCTGCGTAGTCGTGATTTCTTTAGTCCGCTCAAATTCTTCTTCCGCAGCGCGTCGTCTATGTTCCAGAGCTTCCACTTCGCTTCGCTTCTCATCCATGGCCTCCTTAATATTGTCCAAAAGATTGCGCCGATCCAAATCATCATCGGCTGCGCGCTTTCGTCGCTCATTAATCTCCTTACGCAGAGTCTGTAGACTGCTACGAACCGACCCCCGCAAGTCCAAACTCAGTAAATGTGCCGGGTGATAGCCCGTGAACGGCTCTGCTAGGAGTCGATCGCCCTCCGGGGATATTCTGCTAGGTGCGGAGCCAATCTGCGACGCGGAGAAATTACTTTCGTTGACATTCAGGCTGAGCTCATAGTCCTGGCCCTTCGCATTGACCGCAGAGGAAGGGATCAGGCTAGTTTGATAGCCTAGTGTGTTGTAGGCTTTGACAACTTCCTCGAGGGCCTCCAGCTTTTCGCTGGCCTCTTTTTCCTTCTCCATCACTCGGGCATGCGTCTCTTCCAGTCGACCCATGGTATCATCAAGGGTCTTTTGGAGACGATCGCGCTCCGTATTCATGCGATCAATATCCTGAATAGTGATACCTTGTCGGTCGACACTGGATTGGAGCCCTGTCCGCTCGTCTTCGGCCGCCTGCAGGTCTGCCTCGGTCTTCTGAAGCTCGTCCTCCAGGAACTTAATACGATTTTCGTACTTTTCAATTTTCCCCTGCACATTCTGGTTGTAGTCCTCAAATTTCCTCTTGTCATCCTCGAGAATCCTGAAATGCTTGTCGAGCTTGGCCATATCGGGGGCGCTCTTCTCCATCTCTTCGATCTGATCGCGTAGTGCACGATTCTCCGCTTCCAATGCTTGCACTTCTTGCACATATTTCTCATTGCCCCTTTCGAACTCCTGAGCCATCATTTCGATGTGGGGAACTAGCCTCTGTCCGGCTGTCTCATCATCCTCTTCCTCGCCGCCCTGTAACCAGTCATGATAAGCCCCAGTCAAGAATCGGAAGATGATGCGATCCCCTGAAACATCTACACCGGCTTCTGCACAAGCTTCATCATATTCGCCCAGAATGAACCTATCCATCATCTGGGCCAGTTGCATCAACCAATGCAGCATACCAAGGAACGTAGGCCAGTTCTGACCCCCGACAGCTGCTATCTGGGACTTTGTGATACCCTTTTCATAAGGATAGCGCAGTTGCTTCAAGATAGGTGGTACTTCTGAATCCATGCTTTTCTGGAAGCGGTAACCGGGATCAATGCGGTGGTACAGCCACTGGAAAATGTAGTTGAAATCTTTCTGGGTCGGCGACCTCAAGGTATTTTGACCCAAAGTATGCTTCATCTCTAGCTCGAAGTTGTTGTGTGTTAGATACTCTAGAAGCTCCTGTCCAATCCGAGCTTGAAAGGATCGGTCCCTCAGGGGTCGAGGGTCCCGTGGGACACCAGCCGCGCTCGGGACCTGTGTGAAGAATGACTGATGGGCCATAGTGCCTCCTACACCAGCGGATGGCCTTGAGAAGACACTGCTCCTCCGCTGCAAATTTTGGGATGCAGGATTGGAACCAAAGGAGCCGGGCGCATAGCTTTGGCGGCCGGCGCTGGCCCCGTGGAAGATATTGCTTGAGACAGAACGCCTCACCGAGGAGAGGCCTGCATCAGCCCCGAAAGCTCCTCCGGAAGATGAACGCTGGAAATTTGGCTGTTGGGGGCGACTGGTGGAGTTCAACAGCGACATGCGTGTGTGCTGGGCAGTAGACGGGTTCCCAAATGCGCCGATAGAGCTGGTGCGCTTCAGGGCGGACGACGGTTGAGGGAGAGCCGAGAAGTGCGCCAGAGACTATATTGAAGTAGGTCAACGTTTATTCCATGATCCTAATAGAAAACTAGCGGGGTGGTGCAATGGATTACCTCTCGGGGACGCTTGATGCTAAACAAGCCCGTATCTTGTGACATGATGGCAAGGAAGCCGCGACTGCGGCTTTGGTAACAGGAAAAAATGAACACAAGATTGACAAATGACACCAAGCAAAATTCCAGCGCAGGTCTGTACAAAAGGGCTCAGAAACAATGCCTCCCAGAGAATTGGGCACCAAAAAAAAGGGCAGTTGCGGTGGTTACAAAACAAAACGAAAGGATGTAAACAAGATATCCCACTTCATCCGTACAGAGTAGGCGGTGTATCGCGAAGGAACAACGCTTTCGCGAATGCCGAGTTATCTCCGGTCACAGGACTCCGATCACGAGATTCTGGGGAACCTCCGCCACACGCGGTAAATGACTGGATCAGCGACGGAACTTCCGAGGTCCATTTATCCTTCGGTGCCGATAAGCTTCTCTTTCCCTTTCCCGCCTTCCACGTCTTCTCCAACTCCTCTCTCTCATCCTCGTGAACGTGCCCTTCCTGAGTTTTTGTCACATCCTCCTTTCGTGCCAGTTAACCTACTGGAGTAATTGCCAAAATGGCTCGCGAGGAGCTCATCTCCTCTGCAGTAAGTCTGCGCTATATTCATCTGAGATATGCTGTTGGCGAAGTCGGAGTTGACCGGTCTCCTCATTTCTAGATTACCTGTGCGTGTTCCACGTCGACTGTCGACTCCAGTCGCCTTCGGTTTCATTGCTAACTGCCCAGCAGTCCTTCAAGATCCTTCAGTAGCATCGTCGCCGGTCGAGAAGAAAGTCGCATTTCTTCAGTCTAAGAACCTTACGCAAGAGGAGATCGACATCGCTCTCGCCCGAGTAGGTGAAGGCCCGGCTGGAGCTACTGCTGTAACTGCATCGTCAGGGTACCAGCCGTCTTCACAACCACCTGCCTACCGAGGTCCACCGCCACCTGTCCAAGGATATGGATATGGCTACCCTCCATATGGCCAATGGCAGCCTCCGCCTCCGGAGTACGTTCACATCTCTCCCCGGAGCGATAAATGAGTGTGCAAGCTAATCTATTACGTGGCAGGCCCCCAAAGAGGGATTGGCGCGATTGGTTCATTATGGCCACAACAGTAGGAGGCGTAGGATATGGGCTCTACTTTGTCGCTAAGGTTAGTAACGTAGTGAGCCTGATTTATCTCATACCATTGAAGCATAGGTCTAATACGATTTCCAGCGCTATATCACACCCCTTATCGCACCGCCCACTCCACCCCAACTAGAACAGGACAAGGAGAACATTGATGAACAATTTTCTCGTGCCTTTGCTTTGATTGAACAACTCTCTACAGATACTGCAGCGCTGAAGTCAGCTGAGGAGTCGCGCACGGAGCGCCTAGACACTGCCCTGCGGGAGGTCGAGAACCTTGTGGCTGATTTGAAGAACGCTTCACGTCGGAGAGACGATGAAACCCGTCGCATCAGCGATGAGGTCAAGTCATTGAAAGATGCTATCCCTAAGGCCCTGGAAGGTGCTCGGGAAGGAAATGAGAACCGCTTGAAGGAACTGGGAACCGAATTGAAGAGTTTGAAGGTGTTGTTGGGCAACAGGCTCGGAGGCAGCGGAGCTGCTACCTCCCCCAACACTGCAAAATCTAGTGCCCTGCCTACTATGTCGGGCGCCCCTCGTCCTACGGAAGAGTCCCCTGCTTCTCCAGCCACCAACGGTACCACAGCGACGTCGACCGAACAAGCTACACAGCCGTCGTCTACTGCCTCAACACCGTCGAACCAGACCACTCCTGCAGCGAGCAGTAGCCCTCTGTCCCAGTTCAGCCGATCCGCTTCCATCCCTGCCTGGCAAATGGCCGCTGCCAACCGCTCGAAGAATGCGTCCCCATCCACTCCCACTTCTTCTACTGCGGATAACTCTACTAAGCCTGCCGACGAGCAAGCTGCTCCGGCCAGCTAAAGCCTTCGCCGCTTCTTTCACGCTCTTCATGTAGATTTCTTCATCTTTACTTTTCTGCTGGGGTTTCTTTTCATTCTTGTGATTGTATTCACTATGGAGATAATGATTTGGTTGTTGGATTGGACGTTCTTATTCCCGGTTACGTGATCAAGAATTCGAGAGGTCGTGCATAGTTGTAGCATTATACGGGATTGAATATGTATTTGGTGTTCTGTCAGTCGCTACCTCGCAAGTCCCTATAGCATCCAATATAGGTTCCACCTCAGGAACATAATTGCGACAATTGAGTACAAGCCAGCCGAAGAACATTGGAATGTAACCAAAAGATAAGCTCCTTCAATTTACCCCAAAACGGCAACCACCCGCAAAGCTTGGCATTTCTCAACTCCCGCGACGTCAGCGGCCGATAAATTCATCCCATTATACGTACATCATCTCCAAGACACCGAATAACCCACCCAACAGAATGTCCACCCGCGAACACTCCTCGCACCGACATCCGCGCCCCCACCGAGGAAGCGACTCTCGCTCCCGCTCCCCAGACAAACACAGACGCCATCACCACCGCGATCGCGATCGCAGCCATCGACACCACCACAGAAGCCACAACCATGACCGTCGCGAACGCCGCCCCGAACCATCGGCGAAACCAATCGTCCTCCCCTTCCAAGCACGGGAGCTCTCCAAGCGCGACCTCTCGACCTACGAGCCCATGTTCGCCATGTACCTGGACATCCAGAAGGGGATCCTCCTAGAAGATCTCAGCGAAGACGAAGTCAAAGGACGATGGAAGAGCTTCATCAACAAATGGTAAAGGGCGCCTTTCCCTCTCCCCCCGTACATAATTCCCGATGCACTAGTACATAGTCTGGAAAACTGACATATCAGGAACCGTGGAGAACTCGCGGAAGGGTGGTACGATCCGAGTACCCTTGAGAAAGCGCGCCGTAGCGCCCAGGACGAGCCCATTGCGTCTGCTTCCGGGCGGCACCGCCGGTCCCCGGATTACGGCCGGGGCGAGGATGAAAGGGCAGACCAGGGGGAGGAGGATAATCCCGACGAGGATGAGGATGACTATGGGCCTGTTCTGCCGAAATATGACCAGTTGGGTAGATATGACGGTGGTCGCGCGGGACAATCTTCTGGGCCGACTATTCCTACGATGCAGGATCTGGAGTTGCGGAAAGGTATGAGTGGATTTCGGTACTTGGTTTTGGTTGTTTTACTTTTGCTAATCTGGAGATTGCATAGAATCGGCTATTGAGGATGCTATGGCGGCGCGGGAGGACTCATGGAAACAGCACCGTGCTGAGGTACGCTCGCATCGGTCTGAGTTACGACAGATGGAAGATGAGGTTGCGCCGCGGGCTGAACCGGGGACTCATGAGCGGAAGATGGAGAAACGCCAGGAGGCTGCTGCTGCGAATCGAGCCTTTGCTGAGTCTCGGCGGGGTGCTTCTCCTGATGGGGCCCCGGAAGATGAACTGATGGGTTCCGCGGACAATGATCTGGACGCCCTCAAGAGGGCTAAGGCGACAGAGCAGCGGAAGAAGAACGAGCGGGAAATTCGGAGGGAAGAAATACTCCGCGCACGCGCTGCTGAGCGGGAGGAAAGATTGCAGCAATATCGCCAGAAGGAGGATGAAACCATTGGGTGGCTTAAGGCTCTGGCAAAACAGCGGTTTGGGTGATAACCTATGCTTCTGTCTACAGCTCGAATTTCTACTGTACAGAAGGAGGTCTTGTCAATCATATCTACTGCCGTGCGCCATAACTGTTCACCTAGAATCAAACATATATCAGACACAATGTAAATTTATATTAGTAGTATATCCTCACTGTAATGCTAATGAGTTTTGCCCTAAACCCTGCAGCAATGAAACGCATCCTTGCATGCTGCAGTACTAACAAACAAGTAATATGTTTTCGAAACAAGGGATGCCCTGCAGGCCTATGGATCTAGAATAGGTTTCGAATGATGTTGTGCTTACTGGTTACATTGAACATGTTCCCCAGATACTGATGGCAGCGACGCTGTTTTCAACCCACACTCCCTGCCTCTCCTCATTTCATACTGCCTCGGTGCCCTTGAGCAATTAATGTCTCCTAGTATTCCGAGGAACTGCATTGTCTTTTACATTGAGCAACCGGGGTTCGACCGGGTCCTATATGGGAGATATATCTGGGTATAGTAACATGCACTCTCCTTCTATATTTTTTCATTCCTTCCCATATTTACACTCTATCAACGCCTACCCGCGAGAGTTTTCTAATCCAAGAGCGACAAGGAGATTGATGTCTAGCCTTAACTGGAGAAGCAACCAAGACTAGGACCTCCGGCCCAAATCAAGGTTGGCAACCAGCCTCAAGTGGTCAGTTCCATCCACTGGGGCCTCGCCACCGAAGAACGGCTTCACGGCAACCTCAACAGTCTCCTCAAAGAGACGGCCAACTACTTCCTCCTTGAGTTCTTCACCCGTCTGGGCAAAGTCCGGATAGGCGTTCATCTCCAGTAACCAGGCGGTGCCATCTCCATCGACCAAAAAGTCCACACCGAAAAGCTCGAATGCATTTGGGAGTGTCTGGAAATGAACCATCATTCCACGGGCAGCAGCCTCAAAAGCTTCACCACTCACAGCGCAGATTTGGTCAAACACCTTCTCCTTCCAATCGGGGCTGAGTCCAGGGACGTGGGGATCTAATTGCCAAAACCGCCGGACGGTTCCTTCGTTGGCGCTTCCACCTTCCTGGAAGCAGGTATTCGTAAGATGCCTCGCCAGATCAGTGACTTCGTCTTCATCCTCCGAAGGTGGACAGTATGGCTTTGCAGCAAATAGAGCCAACATTTCCTTGAAGACATACACTTTCAAAGAACCCACTGCGAGGACATAAGTGCGGATGTGGAACTTGCGGTTAGATGACGAGGGGAGAAGGAGGGGGGGATCGATATATGGTTGCGCAATGAAATGGCGTAATTGGGAGGTGACCACTCCTGTTCCATTCTCACCCTCGTCATCCTCCTCTTCGGCTCGCTCCGATCCACTTTCTATATCAGACTCATCGACTTCCCATTCCTCAAATATTTCGCGTAGTTGGTCTTCGCTGCTGAAGAGTCGAATTCCTTGTCCCCGATCACTCATTCCGGGTTTAAGGATCCACCACTCTTTTTCATGATCAGGCCTTTCCTCATTCTTTTGCAGACTGTCCCGTAGTTCGTAGGCTTCCAGCAACGCGTCGTCGAGGAACTCTGCGTAGTCTAGCTCGAAATCGAATCCAGGTTTGAAATGCTTTCCTAGGACGCTGTCTGGGTGTTTCGTCACCCAGTTGGAGATTGTGTTAGAAAGGTAATGTTTGCGAATCAACGCCTTGCGGATAATGTAGGCGTTCGCCAAGGATGTAGATGAATGTAGCATGACATGTTCGAAGTCGAGTCGCTCGTATTCACGGTACTGGAAAAGAGGCGCCGAGCGAGACGGAAGGTCTGACAGTGAAGATATCGTCTTATAGCGACCCTTGCCAAGGCGACGCTGCAGGGCCTGTTCCATCAAATCCTGAACATATGGAACGTCACTGTCCACAATGGAGTATAACGTAGGCTCATCATTATCCGGTCTACATGATATTGATCTATCAGAATGCCGGTCTTCCAAAAGAACCACAGGTAACAAGTGATAAGACAATGCCGGGGAAGGGAAGAAAAGCCAGAAGTATGTCAAAAGTTTAGAAGTTTAAAGTTCCGCAACATTATGTTCTAGGCAGTCATATCTAATCTTGGCTTCACTCGCCGAGAAAGTCCACTCACAGCTTGATCTCTCCTTGAATACCGGGTTGATGCATGAAGTTAGCTCTCAGAGGCGTAACACTGGCACGAGTTAGCGACCATCATGACAGTATACTCGGGTGAGATAGAGGAATTGATATACCTTGTCATTCCTTCTTTGACGACCCAACCATCATTGCCCGGTGCGCTTTCCTCCACACTCCTGTAGACATCTGAGAAGTTCGGTGCCCACTGGAAATGTTTGTGTTGAATCCGAGATCTTCTCGGGGTAGTTCCATTCGTATTCGTAGATAATTCTTCGCCTACTGTCTGATCCTGGTGCCGCACATTGTGCTCCTGCAGCTCGGGATTCACATTCGGCACCGAGGCATCGACAGCTCGGAAACAGCTACCAGATGTCCATCGGTTATCAAGCATGTCAGTATAAAGCACCTTGCTCTGGCTCACACCGGGTTCTAATGGCACATTGACGCTGTAAAGGTCTACACCGTCCGCCCAGTTCTTTGCAAGATACTCGATCAACCGAACCGAATGACGCGACGCCTCGGCAATGACAACGGGGTCGTGGTCCCTTGAACTGAAAGCGTACGACAGTGCAACCGAGCGCTTTCCACAGACAGCTGCCTCCATAGCACCACCAATTGTCCCACTAGATAAGGCAAATAGGGCCGTTGAATTGCGCCCGTAATTCGGACCAGACACCACCAGATCAATAGGGCCACGATCCTCAAAATAGTGGTATAACCCAATTTGCACACAGCTGGCCGGGGTAGAATCGACGAGGATCCATTCATCGCCATCCTTGTCATCGTCAGCAGGATCACTGCCTCGAGGCAGTTCGTGTGTCGTTCCATCATCCTTATGCAGGGTTCCAGGACGGAAGTAGGTAGGCTTTACGGAGGCGCCGATTAAGTGGGCTTTGCCGATCCATGATCGTTGCTGATGTGGGAGAACTACGGAGACCACATGGCCTGCCGACTGTAGCGCAACGACGAAAGAATGAACATAAGGAGAGGACTGATTTGACGGAGGGCCGTCGTCGTTCACAACCTAAGGGAGCACCTCACTCTAAGCAAATGCAAATGCGACAAGCGGGGGTAGAGTATGCGATTGAAGAACAGACGGAAGGGTTGTAGAACAAAGACACTCACCAGAATATGCATTGAGGGCCAGTAGTAAGGAAGATAGGACTCAGTAGTCTCAGGCTTGTGGTCGGAGAGGTAAGAAAGATGGTCGAACAATTGGGACTGATTTTCCCTTTTTTTCCCCGCCTTTGCCAACAGCCCACTTTCCGTTATCGATAACGCCATCGCCATCACTATTTATATAACGTAGCACTACTTTGGACACCAATTCATTCACCATGCAGCCTAACATGTGTTTCGTGTACACCCGACGACCCGCATAAGAAAATAGTGCCGAGTATACAGAAAGCAGTGTTACTACAGGACATTTACTCCTCAAAGAGATCTCGATCAACACAACACAATGGTTCCCGCTGATGATTGGGTATCGATACAGTGAAAAAACGCCGGGTTGGAAATCATTACAACAGGCCTCGAAGCAGGTTAGGAGTGCTCGTGATTGAACAGGCGGCTTCGCCTTCGTTGAACGCCGCGAGCCTCAGCACTTTCCAGCCCAGTCCCCGCACCGACTTCCTCGGACGAAATTGTACCTCGGTCTCTTGGCGAACCATCAGACTCGTCGTCATCTGCCTCATATTCGTCTTCTCTCTTGATCCTCCGTCTCTCTTCGGGATTAGCGGAAGAAGTAGAGGGTGCTTCCATGAGAGAGGATGTTTCCTCAGAAGGTTCCTGCTTGATCGGTGTTTCGTCGCCCGCTTCTTCCTTCATCTCCGGTTCATGCGTGCCCGTGCTTGATAAGGAAGCTATAATCACCCAAGAAATGCTTGCCGACGTCATACAGATACTCCAGAACAAGGAACTAAAGATGAAGAACGACGTGATCTTCCAGTTGTACATCATCCATCTGCTGTACCGTCAGTCACAATAGCCACACCCCAGAAACAACGTTGGGACCCCGGGAGCCCATACCTCAATCCAGTAAACCTAGCTTTGAATTCCACCGTTGCTTTGTATATTTGCATCTCCTCGTTACTATGAATTTCCAGCCGCAAACTTTCAGGCAGATTACGCCGTCCGCGAGCAAATTCAACCCGTTCCATCATTGGTACCACCAGCTTCTCTGCTTCCCGTGTCCAGCCAAACACATAGAACGGCATAAGTGAGAGCTTGCTGGCGGTGTCCACTAGAGGCGAGGCGTATGTCAGGATGGCAGGACGTCGCGATCGTGAGAGAGGGAATGTAGAGCTATTCGTGCCCGTCAGGACAGATGTCGAAGGCTGGGAAACGAGGGTAAGATCGAGCATGAAATTCCCAGCAGCAAGGTTTGAGGGGGTACGAGGCAACTCAAGTTCCACGTTGACGTCGTATGCCTGAAGAGAGACCAATTCGGAGCCGAGGGAGGCGATTCCCCAAGGATGCCCATCACTATTAGCAAGTACAATCAGCAAGCAAATCTCTCAGGTCAAAGAACGCCTCTTATCACCAGAGGGTCGCCGATCAATGCTTTACTCACCCGAATTGTAAATGTACCACGCGTCCAACGCCGACTTGGGGAACGAATCGATAGTAGAAAACCCCATAGGCGAGGGCGGACCCAAACAGCATGCATAGGCCCGTGCCAATAAATAGCAAGGTTCCCAAATAAGCCTTCTGGGCTTGTTTTGAGAAGAACGGCCGGGTGTACCTGACCAGCGCGTTCTGCGCGTTATGCTAGATGTTAGGGTACCAACTCGATTATCTCCCGTGTGGTGCTAGCTCTTACCGTTGTTCTAGTTAAAGCTGTAGGCTTATGATCTGCATCTTCCTCAGATGAATAATCAGATTCCATGATGCGGTAATTCGGGAAGTAATGCGAGGGTAATTGAAGCGATATCCGTGGCAGCTGTGTTGGAGTACAAGTTTTAAGTCTACCTGAGCTATTTTGATGGGTCGCGTCGACGTCACAGGGTCTCACTCCGCGGGAACATGTGAAACCTTCCTTCCAAGGTATCCATTTCAACTCTCCCTCTACATATACATAGAGCTACAACACAGGACCTACGGCTCTAGTAACTCAATTCTTTGAAAATCAATTACAATGGAATTGCACACTCATTATTCCATGTCAACCTGATCAAACTCCCAATGCCATTGAAAATGCAAAGTAGAACAAAACCTCATTATACCCCCGTATTTTTATACTTATCGTTACAGGCTACCAGAACAGGCGTGACACAAATGTCCAACAGAAGTACAAGGGAGAAAGGAATTGAAAAAAAAAAGAAAAAGTGGGGTGAAGGAAGAAATATAGGTAGATAAAGGAAAAGAAAAAAATGATAAAAGGCTTCATGCAGCTTTGAATCATGCTGACATGTCCTCCTAGTGGTATGCATATTCCCCCCAGAAACCCAACCGAGAAATGATAACAAGGTAAAGCAGTGCAACGGGCCACTAAAAAAGATAATAGAGAATAAGAACCCTTCAAATCATACATTCCAGCAGAGCTCCGTAATATGGATGCTACATGTCATGAGCGGCATCGGCGATCACCATGAAAAAATTCATGTCAGAAATAAGTAAGACATCGTGGCAAGGTCAAGTTCTTCGTATTAATAGAGAATATAGCAAAGGTGCTGATTCTTCGTCAATGCCTAGGTCAATGCTCTAGGGCTTTGCTGTTGAATGTGCTGCAGGAGTGCATCGAATAAACGACCGATCTAATGACATCTCTGGTTAGTTGCCTGCTCAATCGAGGGAGCGCGGGATAATATTAACTCACCTCAGGCGCCGCTTGAATAAAGGGAAGACGGAAAAAGGTGTAGCTGCGATTCTGAAGCAGTTCCTGCAGAGTTATAATTAATCCCCAAGGGTGAGGACGATGGACGATAAGTCGCTCAAGCAACACCCGAATAATCTGCTGGCGGATGTCGGACTCATCCTGTTCCGAGTAGTCGGAACCGAACAAACGGAGAATCGCGAAACTGAAGAAGTAGGTGTGGCTGTTAGGATACCGAAGCTGGTTCGCCATCGCACTCAACAGGTAATAGCGCGCCTCAGGCCGCAAGGCTTTCGCTAACTTCTCAAGAAGGGCTGAATGAGGGGAGTTGTCAAATGCTGCACGAGTGTTGCCCTTAGATGCATTGTCAGAGACAGCGCTCTGGCCGATGTAGAGCACCAGTGCGTTCAAAAGCACCACATTGACATTGATTGGCGTGTAGAAAAGGCCGGTCTCTTTGGTAGTCGGGTTGTACACGGCTTCACAAATCTGCTGCAAAGCCGATTCCGACGCATTCCCACTCTGAAGCGAAGCGTCAACCACACCCTTGATGTTGGCCTGCTGGAGTGGAGCTGCCGTGTCACCAGCGATCTTTGGCGCTTCCCGCATTTCCTCTAGCCGTTCAACCTTCAGACCCTCTCTAAACGGATCTGGCAGTTTGTGGAAGGATGACGGATAGGCGCTCAGGACAAGGTTTCGAAGCTGAGCGCAATGTGCGGGGATAACATTGCAGAACTGGAAATGATTTTCCGCCACAAACTCGGGGAAGTCATGATGCAAGATCAGCAAGATACGGAGCACGCCCTTATACATGTCCTTGATAACATAGGAGATATTTGCAGGCTTGAGTTGCTCGCCGATATAGGCAAGAAGAGCTTGCATGATCTCGCAGTAAGGGCCCCAGCCCGTACGCTCTGGCATGTTCAACATACCTGACATGAAGAACCTGTGCGAGACCAACGCCAGCCAACCGTAAACAAACGCGGGGCAGTACTTAGGTTGGAGTGACAAGAATTTGTTAGCCAAGGCGAACATCATCTCCTGATGTTGTTCGCTCTGTTGAAGGCCGTTCAATGAATATTCGCAAAGGATACTTGAGAAGAGCCTGAAGAAGACGCGCTGGTTGAAAGCTTCCCCTCTCATGACATGATGGTGGTTGAGAACGAGCACTAGCAATGACAGGATGGAATTGAAGTAGACTGACTTGCTAGTCTTGGTAGCTCCTGGCGTCTCGCCCTGGAATTTGACAAGTAGTACAACCAGTTTTGCGAGGGCATCGATGTAGAGGTAGGCCTCATCAAGGCTGCCATTAGGATTTTGAGACTCATGCTCAAACATTGCAACGGAAATATCAATGCTAAGACGGAAGAATAAGGCAGAATCTTCTTGGTTGTCCATGACTTGTCTCTCATGGATATCCTTGAGGAAAGAATAATAGGTGCGATCGACTGCGCCTGGAGCCTTGTAGATTCCGATCCATTCGCTAAAAATGTATTCCATCTGATCACGCTTAGATCTCGATTTATCACTGAGCAGAGGGTTAACTACTTCAGGAATCCCAGACTCGCGCAGTTTGTTGATAATATCACTGGCAGTTGAAAGACTGGAGTCTTCTGCAAGCCACTGGCTCATAGCTTCAAGACTGCCTGAGAAGTCAGACCTCAAGGCGGAAGGCTCTTCGCTGAAAAGAACACGGTCCATCAGATTGGCAAGGACATCTAGAGCACCGGTATTCTTCTGGAGGATAAGCCTTGTCAATATCATATCGACGCGACGAATATCCAAAAGCCCAGCATCAATGAGAGCGACAGTAACTGGGACATTGAACATGTGCTCATCATCAACTTCCGATAAGACCGCCCAGGTGTATCGTGCTACCAGAGACGACATGTCGCACAGCTTGGCAAGAAGATGTACGAGTACTTCAATCTCTAATGTGCCTTGTGTCTGCGAGAATAGACTTGTGCAGATCTTGAGCGACGTCAACCGTGCGAGCTCCTCACCGTTGGGAGATGCGAGAATAGCCCGCAAGGCTTGGTTGTACTCTTGTAGGACGCCGCTCTCTCTTCCGAGATCTCTAACACGCTCCTCAGACGCGTTTCTTGCAGCTTGTTGAAGATCGGAAACGATGCTCTCGACCTTCTCGCGTGGACTCTGTGCTTCAAGGAAACCATTGAGCTGCGACTGTGCGCTGACAAGCCCAGACTGCTGCAATCTGGCATCCTGTTGCGCCTGTGGTGTCCTGTGAGGAACAGCAGGCTGCTCTGCAGGCGTAGAAAGGTTCGGTATGGCGGTATAAGGGTCCTGTAGAACATCTTGGATGCGGCCAGAGTCAGTCGAAACATTGGGGATATGAGTTGTTCCCGGCCCACGAGACTGGCGGGCAAACTCTTCATAGATAGCCAGCTGTTCTTTGTTGAGTCCACCAGGTGCCTGTCGGTAAGGCTCTGGAATGAAAAGCCCCCAGCGATTCATAGATGGATCAATGAATGGTTCATTGGGCCTAGCAGCACGGTGACGGCGACGGGCTTCTAACTGCGGCTCGATGACCTTCTCGATCTCTGGAAGCGATTTTTCTTCTGCTGCCTTCTCCACAATGCCACAGGCAGCATCCAGGTTATCATTTACACACATTAGTATAAGCCCCTCAGGCATAGGCTGATCCGAATACTCCTGCTGAATCATACGGATATAGTTGGTCATGCTGACCTTCAGAGGCTCTTTGCAAGTGACAAGGGCCAGGCTACCAGCAAGTTGCCTAACCATTATGCCAGCCGCATGTCGGACTTTTTCCTCGTCGGGCTCCATGGCGAAATCCTTTGATACCAATTGAACTGTCGAGATGGAGGCAATGGTTACCGATCGTTCCACCACAGGCGTTATAATCTCTGCAATAGCACGTTCCACAGAGCTGTGTACAATTTGTCGAAGAACATTGGGGTCAACCATGCTGCTTGCGGACGATGGTAAGACAAGGATCTTATCTAAACTTGGCAGCGTCGACATAATAGCGGCGGGTGAGAGCCTCTCGTGACGAATGCCTTGGTTGATGCTGGTAAGTGCCATGTCTTCAAACGCTTCGAGACCTTCAGGAATGTTGGCTGTTGACAACGCATCCTCAATGTGCGCTGAACGGTCTCGGATGATGACGGACGGTTCAATGGCTTTATGATCGAGATCAAGGTCTTTGCATAGAACCTCTATTTCAAATTTGAGATTCAGTTTCAATTCAGCAAAGTGATAGAGCTCCATCAAAAGCGCCAGGATGTCCATGAGCCAAGGATTTGGCGGGTTGAAGACTGTAGACTTGGTAGCCTGGACCAACACTTTACAAGTGAATGGGATCACGATCGTTAGGCGTTGGCTGTCATAACCTTCCAAGAGGAGCCCCTTGAAGTACACATTTTTGTGCTTGATTGGCTTATCTTTTGCGATAGTCAAGGATCCAAGCCATAACCCAAGGTTCTTTAAATGTCCACGGTCGGTGGAATTATTCAAAGTGGCCTCGGAATTGAGCAGCTTGGAAACGCAGACGTATGTTTCTCGCAAAACTTCTGCCCAAAGTACCCTATCGTTAATGCGATCAAGGAGATCAAGATACAACTGCTGGAAGTTAGGCTGCAGTTTCGCTCGTTCTTCCACCAAATACGAAGCAAACCATTGGTGGTGTTGATCCCGAAGAACATCGGTGAGATCTCGTAGCTTCTCCTCGATGTTCTGCTCCGAGACGTTGTTCAGTACGAATAGAATCTTGTCCTGCACATCCTCATCGGGATCCTTGTAGACTTCAGGTCGGAGAGGGGGGTCAACATGTACAGAAATGAATTTACGAGTTGTTCCGTCAGCGGTAGCAGTCTCGTCCACAACATTACCATTAGTCAAGGATCCAGCGGAAGTATTATCGAGTCTACCAGTATCGGAGTCGCGGGCCTGGTTTCCTTGTTCGTGGAGCACCTCTTCGGCTTTCTGAAAGATTGGGGAGCCTTGCAAAGTCGGAATCTGCAATAATAGATGACAAAAGCCAGCCCATTCTGGGAGTCGGTTGATCAATTGCTCGATAGCTTCCACTCCAA